CTCCTTTAAGGCAGCCATCCAACCAAGAGTGAAACCCTTGTTGCATACCTGTTTCACTTGCTTCTTGTAGTCCTCACTAACGTCGGCTGCCCCCTCAGCGTATGTTTTCTCGTTCGCCGCTTTGATCTCAGCGTCCTTTGTGGCCAAGGCAGCAATGAGCTCAGCTTGGGCTTCGGCGGTCTTTGTTTCGGCCTCTTTCTTCTCGGCTTCGAGGACCTTAGCAACAGCCTCAGCAGCTCCTGCCCTCTCATCGGCCTCGTCTTGGGCCTGTTTAGTTGCCTTGGCCTGATCTATCAATGTCTTCATCTTGGCCTCGGCTCTGTTTACGATCTTCAGCAACCTAGCAGCCTCCTTGGTCTTGTTGACCAACTCCTTCTTAATGTCGAAAGCCTACATCGCAAAGGAGTGGGTGTGTTGGATCGCTTAAGAGGAATGGACAAAACAAAAGTTAGCAAAATTCTCTAAGTATGGAAAAACAGAGAATGAAAAAGTACTAAGTGTTAGGGGCTTACTTGAACGGAGTGCTGCAACATCAGAGCAAAGTTTTCACATTCACTGAACTCGGCATTGTGTTCGAGGTCTTTTGGAAGGTGCAAGGCAGTAGAGAGGGCAACGCCGACTTCAATGTCAGTCGCGCTATCGCCGACTCTGACTAGCTTGTCCTTAATGGTGATTGGAAGGGCCCAGGGGGCATCAAATTTCATGGACCCCAAGGTCGTGGCTGACTCTGACCTCGGCTTTTTTGACCGGGTGGATTCAGAGGGAGCGGCCTCTGCGAGCCTCTTTTCAACGGCAAAGGCACTTTTTTCTGCCTCGGCCATCTTGGAGATCGGCAAGGTATCTTCAGAATCGATCTGAGTTACTGTTGCCTTTGCTTGGGCTTTCTTCAGCCTTTTTTGCTTTGGCTTTGGCTGAGATTGCGATGGTGAAGATTGTATGGTGACGATGTTGGGGATGTCGGTTAGAAGGTCGTCTGCTACAGCCTTTTTACGACCCATCTCGTCGGCGTCTACGGCAACGGTGACCTTAGTGCCGAAATGGATCGCTAGAAGTGCAGTTGTGGGGTTGGCTAGATCGTATGAGGATACCTCGGCACTTCGGCTTCTTCGGCTTCGAGTTCGACCTGCTAGTGCAAGCAGTGGAGTTCGACGTCAGCGTTGGTGTTGAGAAAGTGGGATCAGTTGTGGGGCAAAGGTTGATGGTTGCTCCAGAGGACCAGATATTGATCCTTGGTCAGGCCTTAATGATTCAGCTTGAGGGGTTGTTGCTGAAGGAGGAGACTTGCTTTTTCTTGGGACGTCGAGAAGTACAGATTTGTACGTCGGGATGTAGTTGAGCAGCAAAGGGCTTTTCGCTGGTCAACTGGCAGACCCAACAGCCTCTTAAAATCCTTGCTGGGATAGAAGTTTTTGCGGAAGTCTTTTACAGGCTAAAGAAGAACTACAAAATAAAGCATACAGACGTTAGAACATACAAAAATATCAAAGTAAAAAAGAGTTGTGAAACGAGTAAAAGTAACACTTGGCTCTTACCATCTCCCTCTCTGAACAATGTACAGCTTAAAGGGTAGAGGTGAAGGTCATCATCAGGAAGGAACTCCCAGTTGACCGAGATGATGAAGTAATCATCCCTGGCACCTTTGTTGGAATCAGGGAGGTCGGCGATGAGTTTGTATTCCGTCGACCTCGGCTTAAGGTAGTAAATGTAGCCTTTTTCTGACTTAAGGCCACACATGTGTAGCAGTACTGGATGTCGGCTACAGTTACCCTAGCATTTTCTCAGCTAGCTAAAGCGATAATACCGTTGATGACTCTGTAAGAGTTAATGGCTAATTGCATTGGGTTGAGTTTATAATAGTGAAGGACTTCTCGGAAGAGGATATCGAGAAGGAGCCTAAGTCCACACTCTACGAAAGCTACCACTAGGAAGGGCATGGAGTCGTCTTTGGGCGTAATGGAGTCCTCTTCCCCAGCCAACCTAAGATGGACATTGGCAAGGATAGCAAACTCCTGCCTAAAGTATTCTAGCTTAATTGGGGTGTCTACCTTCCACCTCCACATACCCATGACGTCGGCTTAGGGGGAAAGTGTTGGATTTCAGAAGGGAGTGGTTTGTTAAGGTTTTAAGGACCTTGGCTCCAACTCAAAACAGAAACTGGGGCAAGGGATTTCAGGATCTAAGAGGAATTTGTTTCAATTTTTCCCAAGAATAAGGGTTCTAGAACAAATCCCAAAACCTAGAGCTATTGAAACAGAAATAAGGAACAAGAATCTGGAAAAAAACAACAAGAAAACAAGGCAAAGAGTACAATTCAAATTCAAGAAGGTAGCAGAAAAATCAAGAACAGTGTTAAGCTATCAAGAACGTCAAGTGCATATGTGTGGATGTGTATACCCAGAAGCAAAATCATGAGACAAACATGCCCAAGTATATGGTTGAAATTTATAATCAAGAACATAAACGGGTTGGCAATGGCAGCAAATAATGCAATGGAGTTTTTTAAAGAAAAACATAGATTAATAAGATGGGAAGCAGTGACTTACCAGAGGGAGTGACGCCGGTATGAGGTACACCGGAGTTGAACGCGGGTGGTACGAGTGGTGGAACAACAAATGCTTCACCGGAGAAGATGAACGAAGTGGTTGTAGAAGCTTGAAGAAAGCAACAATGCAGGTAAGGAATTTTTAGAGAGAGAAATTTGAGAGCTTTGAAGAGAAATTGTGTTTGCAAAAGTGAAAAGAATGAGAGAGAGGGCGGAATTTTGTCAAACACACGAAAGAGCGACAAACCACAATGAATGTGCCTTGGACGACATGCCTGTCAGGCGGCGCACGCAAAAGCAACGCGACTTGATGGCACGTGTCAGGTATGGTTCAATAGGGATGAGATGCGTGGCAAAAACGGTTGAGTTGCAGTGCGTGACAGCTCATACACGTGTAAAAACTCTTGGAGTTCTTGATTTAATAAAGCAAAGACCGGCTAGGGAGATGACCTCGGCTAGAGAAACTTGAAAAAAACTTGGTTCTTGGTTCTAAAGCATTGATGCAAACACACTGAAATGTTTATCATATGGAAGCCGATATGTGATAACCTCGGTAATGAATGATAGAGCAAGTTTAGTCGACGTGCTATGGGTTCAAATGATATAAGTTCCATCACCTTAGGATGCCGAGGTAATAGAACCTAAAGGGAAGTTGTGGGTACATATTTTTTGGACAACAACACGTGGCCAATGTGGCACCGAAGTGCCAGCCGAGGTGCCACGTGTCCTTGACTTGACACCAAGGTAGTCTCGGCTAGGCCGAGGTTATCTGCAGAGATACTAGAATCCGAGATAAATGGATAAGTTATAAGAGTCCTAGAATAAGGTGGGACTTCAGCCTGGATAAGGATAAAGCTCTTAGGGAGTTTATCTTCATCTATTTGAGAGTCCTGGTAGGCATTGAGCCAGAGTCCATTGAAGCTAGGCTTCTACAGGGATCAGGTCAGTGTTGGTTATAAAAGTAAGGCACCCTCGTGAGTCTAAGGTACGCTTTGGATATTCTGGCTTGTGAGTTAAGCACAATTAGTTATTTTTTAGAGATATTGATTACTGACTTGATCGTCGGAGTGCCCCTATGTGGAAGAACCACTGCCGAAGTCTCATCTTTCTGTTACAGGTTGTTCGGGCGCAATCTATTCTGCCGGTGTTCTCCAGCTGAGTACCTGGTTGGCAGTGTAGTCAGAAAAAAGCATACACAATATATAATAAGGCATAAGGTATTTTGAAAATGTCCTACCGACGTTTGTTCTACTAGAACATTTAGACGGCTCATGTCTATTTAAACTGCAAAACAATGGTTGAAATGTATTTTTTTTTAAATGTCTTATGTGTACATTTTTTACTTTCTCACTTCACTCTCTTACATTTTTCTTTTAACCACCCTCCCATAATTCCATGAATAACCTTATACTCCTATGATCCCATAACGCTATATCATGTCACGGTGGAGTTCTTCCTCATTAATTAAAAGATAAATTTGTAAAATTAGAACCAATTAAAAGGCAGAATATGTAAAATCAAACTACACAATTCAATTAACTTACAAAAATACATTCTCATATAAGTTCTCAAGTCTGTTTATTTAGGGATGAGCATGACTCGGATTAATTCGATTTAGCTAAACCAAGATCAATCCATTACCTATGGTTCCATCAAGTTTGGAACCAAATAAATCCATGAAAATTCCATTCAATCTAATTCAGATGCCCTAGATCTGACATGTCTTTTGAGAGGAGTAACATGAAACTCATAATTATGAGTGTATTCAATATTCCCAAATAAAAAAGGAAATTGATCTATGGTTGATTTCGTAACAAATAAATAAAAAAAAAAAAGATTGGTTCTAAGAACCAATCTAAGCCGAACCACTAAACTATGGTTCGGTTCAATTTGAAATTGCTAATTTTAAAATTATTATCATTATTCATAATATGATTACAAAATATTATTCACAGCTTAAGAATTATTTACATGATTATATAAAACTAGTTTTATCACTATACAAAATATAGTTATAATAGTAGAGAGTTGTAATTTTTATATATATATATATGTTGGTACTAATAAAATATTTTAGTATTTGTATTTGGTAACAAATTACATATATTTTAAATGGTCTGATTCGATTCCAACTAAATTCATAGCTATAAAATCATAAACCGAACCATAAAATACGATTCACCTATTTTAAGAATTAAAATCAAACTATGCATTAAAAAAACCGAACCAAACCGTACAGTGTAATCTGAACCGGGCCGATTTATTATTTTTTATACTCAGCCCTATGTTTATTGCAAATCAAGTGCAGCTCAGCTGCCTTTAATTTTGTTAATCTTTTTGGGCCAAACCCAAATACCCGGTTTTTTAGTCCATCTTTTCGTATATTTTTTTTAACACGCATCTTTTCGACTTTTTGGTCCTGGTGTTTCAGTCACTTTCAAAGCTGTTCACAACTTCCTTTTAGACCCCAATATGTACAAATTTATAACCCAAAATAATGAGTGACAAACCAATTTTGCAAGATTTAATTTGAAGTTCAAGTACCCAAAACCACAATCCTGATTTTATAGGAATTTACCCAAAGATCAACCCAAAAAAAAGTCCAGAATATTGGCGGAATATAAGATAAGATTCACCGGTTCTAATGTTCTTATGCTGATTTTGAAACCAATTTTGTGAGTAATCCCTAGTCTACTCATTCATTCTCCTGAAATCACCCAAAATTTTTTGAAACCCACCGATATACTTAATTAGCAAAATGCACTCTCTATATATCAGGCTGATATCAATCTCTCATCTCCTCCCATCACGCCACGGCCTTCTGTTTCCCTGCCTGTTGTAATCCCGGTACTCAGAAGAAGAATTCCATGGTCTTGACCGGTCCGGCCCTGGTCCAGGGCCAGGACCGGGCCTAGATCTATGGTTATGGCCCATGTTCATTCTCGGTTCCCGATAGGTCAGTCCAGACATGTACTCATTGGATCTGAATGGACTTCTCTCTGGGCTCCACGATTCAAACCCCACATCCTCCTCCCCCATATATTCATCTCTATCCCTCGGAGGACCATGATGCATTGGTCCTGCTCCTCTCACGAATGAATTATAATTGTTTTGATTAGGTAGTGGATGAGGATTTGAAGCCAAACCCGGGTTTATCTCCCTCCAAGAATGCATTGTCGAAACCATAGGCTCGGGTACAAAAGCCGGCCGTGGCTCTCGCTGTCTCTGTGGCTGTGCTCGTGGTGGCAGCATGGATGTGGAGGGATGTGAAACAGGATTTCTATTTACCATATCTGAGACTGGTGCCGTCTTAACATAGGTAGATGTTTCAACCCGCATTGACGACGGTAAAGATGAGCTACTGGGGGGAATATTTTTCAAGTTTCGGACTGTTTCTGAACTGCTGGTGGCAATCTGGTGTACCGGAGGAATTACAGGTGGCGTCAATCGGTTATTGTTGTGGGGCAAGGGGTATTGAGGTAGTGCTTGGTGGGAGAGTGGTGGGAAGCTTGGTGGTGGTGGTGGTTGTTGGGCCATGATGTTTTTGATGGGTGGTGATAGTTCATGCCGAACCAAATTGCTAGCAGGAAACTTTTCTTGTGAAGGGATTGAAACTGCAACAGGTTCTCTGTTAGCCGTTATGCTTTGCCGTGAAAATGGATTTTTACTCCAACCGCTCTGCATTTAACCCAAAAAAATAAGATAACAAGAAACAAGTAAGATATATCAGTTAAGTGAATTAACAACAATGACAACAATAACAGTAGACAAAACATGGAGTTTGAATTATTTTATTGATCAAGCCACGACTTCAACAGTAGATTCCAAGTTTGATTGATGGGTATTATGACAACCAGAACAAAGACTACAAAATTCAAATATTAGAACTCAAGGCAGAGAAAAAAAGATATGCCCTCCAACCGCCATTTCAGTGTTTGTTGAAGTATATTTGGGGTCCAAGTGCTTATGGGTGGCTTTTCTGAGATGGGAGAGACACAGGACGCATTGATTACGTGGCCCATCATGACACCGTTTAGCAGTCTTAGCCGCATCTCTCCCCACCGCCCTCCCCCACAAAAAAAAAAAAAAAAATTCAGCCCCAATCAAATGCTTGGCATTCCCTCATTGACCTTATTTTGGACATTTGTTTTTAATTCTTAATTTAGGGATATCTATTCGCACACCACAGAAATTCTTAGCACACATCATTTGTGTCCTTTGAATATCAAATCAAATGTTTATACATCAACTTCTGAACGAAACTGAATTTTTCATAAATAAATTTTGTTCAATAGTTGATATCCGAACAATTGATTTTTGTTTGTTGATGTCCGAATATTTAATTTTGTTTGAAAGTTGATATCCAAACAATACAAATGTATGTACTGAGATGAGGTGCAATATGCGAATAGAATTACCACATAGAGAGAGAGGGGTGGGGAGAGAGAAGACGAAGAAGAAGAAGAAGAAGATGGCAATAATTCCGTAATTTGTTAAAAGTTGTACAACATGTGCCTAAAACACGCACCGTTACAGGATCGCTGGAAGGAGTTGGGGAAGGAAGAGAAACTTGAACATTCTCCTCAGGAGCATTTCTGCCTAACCCAGTAGTTAAATTAGCCAGTGAGGCAACCCCATTGGACTTTATCATATCCAGCAGCTTCACAGTTTGCTCACTCGACAAGCTACCACCTTGGCCTGACGTCAATGCAAAAACCAATTCCGGGTTTTTTAGCAACACAGCAAGCAACTCAAGGTCTGGTTCAGGCACACTCCCATTACTGATCTGAGAAGTCGACGATTCAGGCACCTCAGCAACAACTGTACTGATTTCATTTTCCTGGGGAGAAACCACTGTTTCTGCACCATCAGGATCAGGTAGTTGCTCAGTTGGGATTTCCGGGGTTAGAGTGTCATCATACTCCATCTCAGAGTCCCACGGTTCCTTAGGATTGTGTGGTATCTCCAGAGATGTCCTGTAAATAGTTTCTTTTTCCCTTCGGATTCTGTTTCTCTGTACTTCAACCTCTTTGCTATTCTCGCCCATGCCAACTCTCCAATCATCATGGATCCTCATTTCTGCATTAAGGAAGAAAAGGGTAGAAAAGCTAAAATCTGCAGAAATTTTATTTGAACGTTAAAGGAGGCTGCAAAACACTAAGATCCAAATGGCTTCCATTTTTATAGATTAATGATTAGATTTGAATTCCCAGAATCATATTGTATTCATGGCACTCAATTGAGTTCTTTGCATTCAGGGTATTGGTTAGTTGTTTCATATCGGGTGACAGAAAAAGACAAAGGATAGTTGCGAAAGGTCAAGAATTCTGTCCCAAATCTCTCTGACCTCCCGTCCCAAAACATTTACATTCGTTAATTCATCTTGTTTGATTTACTACAATGAAATGAAATTGAATGACTATTCCATCATAATATTCATTCTTACATTTTGTTCACTAACAAAATAATAATTAATATATTATAAATGAAATTATCATTTATCAATGTAAGGGAATAGCTGTTTTCTAAAGAAGTTAAGAAATGATCATTGCATTCCATTTTATTTCATTCTAATGAATCAAATACTACATTGAAGTATAAGAATCCTGAAACATAATCCATTGATTACAAGTGTTTCAAACAGAGAGACAGATGAATTTGAGACAAAAAATCATGTGAAGTTGCAAAATGGATTTTTACTTCCATTGCCATTGAAAGTAGTTACTGACAGTAATAAAGTGAGACAACAAAACTAGCTTTCTGAGAATAACCCTTCCACAAATAGGAGAGCAGCAAATGGAGAAGTTTGAAAACTGATCCCCATCACCGACTTGGTTTCACACGTTCCCATGCAAATCAGCCAAGTCCAAGGTGATGAATCAGATGACAATGCCAAACGATCATTGGCCTATTTTTTTTATTTTTTTTTATAAATAAAATATATAGTTAACACTCACGAGGATTTGTATAGTCAAATTATTTGTTTCTAGTTCACCAAGTAACAACAAGTAATAAGTTATTCGTGCTTATTCTGAAGGGATGAGTCCAAAAATCTTTGTCATGCAGAGGTCATAAAAATATATTTAAAAAATAAAATTTAAAAGGTCATGGGTTATGCTACAAGCAAGCCATTTGGGTTTAGTTACCCAACCATGAACTTCCTAACCAATAAACATAATTTTCAGTAGGTTATTTCATATTTTATTATGTTCTAGATCTCCAAAGCCAACAAGCTATACATTATTTTCAATCTTATTATTATTTTTATTTTTACTTTTATTTTATTTTTATTTTTATTTTTATTTTATTTTTTTATTTTTTTTTGGGGGGGGGTGCATTTGTCAATTGTTCATAACTAGTGCCGTTAAATGTAACCTGCTTGCATTGGGCCATATGAATTCAATAACATCATCAATCCATATTCAAAATTGTTTCAATGACACTTCCACTTCATATGCTCAAATTCAGAATTCATAAAAATACCGTCCTTGACTTGTAGGTTTGGCAGCAAAAAAAGGTAAATGGAATCAAACAAGAAACTTTCACTAAATTCGATCATGTGAAAAAATTGAATGAAAGATCCTGTGTGTTACAGTTATACAATGGCCTTAGAATAGCAAAGGAAACAAGACTAAATTGGAGTTGGAGTCAAATTGGAAGGGAAAAGAAATATCTTAAGTCAATTGAGTAATTTGATGTACCATATTATGTGGTAAAAATTAAATTAATCTCTGAAGAAACACTAGAATGATCACACTTTCATTAGGTGCAAAGGCTCCTGAGAAGTTTCTGCCTCTAGGTCAGGCACACTTTTAGAGCAACTATTTTTCTTAGCAAATATGTCTCCCAAATCAGAAAAATACACTTGCCGTGCATAGATTAATGGAGAGTTTTTAGTCACAATTCATCCACCATATACTCCTAACCTTCATCATACCCCCAACAGCAACGAAAGGTTAATACCCGAGCGAAAATTTTGGAGTCATGGCGGCAATGCCTACTATGATATCTTTGCAAGAAATTGCACCGTTGCGTCGTATTATAATTTTTGGGAAATCACATTCCAGTTTAACATGTTCATTTGCTGCCCAATTAAATGTCCTCGAGTGTGGATACTTTTTAAGTCATACTGTATTAACAGGTCGATCTTGATTTTCCAGACATCATCAATATTTCCTTTCCCCAATTTGTTTTCAGAAACAGGATTCATAAAAAACACATTTTACAGTTTCTTTAACATAGAACAAAACAGATCCTCAAGATTTCCACCAAAAAAAAAAGGGAATTAAGATTTAATTATAAAGATTAAAGAGTATATATATGTAGAAGAAGAAGAAGAAGAAAGAAGGTAAATTAAGCAAAGTCAGCAAGTTTTATAGCATAGAGGATGTTGAATCTGCCTACGTGAATATACAAGAAAATAACTAAACAGTCATATATCTATCTCCAACTTCTGGACAAATCTCGAAACGGTCAGTACTTTCACTTGGGGAGAGAGGGAGAGAGAGAGCCTCTAAAATTATGAAATTTGGAGGTGTTCAATAATTTTGAAGTGCATTTAGAGGCTCCTGCTAGCTCTTTCTACCCCAAAACAATTTGACAAACAATGAAAAGAGTTAATAAAGGAGTACTAGAAGCAAATGTACCTGCCGGTGTCTGCCATGGGATCTGGACCTGGACCCTCTTGAACTTCTTCGACAAAGGTTCATTCAGATCCGAATTAACCTTATTACCAAGAGGAGCTTCTTGCTGAATAGAGACCTTTGACAGAAGCATCACAGGGTCCTTACATTCCTCAACCCGAGGCTGAACACGAGCTTTGGAAGCTGAAAGCAAAGTTCTTGCCTGGGAAGAGGGAAATTTGGAAGGACCTTCAGTCTTCACTTGGTGCCCTTCACCAGAAGATACACCGGATTTTCCATATTTGCTTTGCATGAATTGAGCACGCAACTTTGCTTTTTGGATATCATCGGCCGATAATGGGCGGCCTTGAGTTGCAGGTACTGATCTTGCAACCTGAAAACTTCTGCCGGGCTGTTTTTGGCCTGGCTGTTCCACCATAAGAACTTTTCTCCGCTCCCTTGTTTCTATTAACTAGTTAAGGAAATGAACCCATGTTCTTTCACACGCGTAACAAAAATAGAAAAATCACATGTGCATGATTTGTCTCTTTAGCTATTCAAAAAAATACTAGAAAAGCAGACAAAGATATTGTTACGAGATTCAATCAAACTCATTTGAGTGCCTGAGTACTACAATTCATCTGGAGAGTATAATATCCTTGTTCTCTCTTCAATATAAAGTCCTTTGGTAAAACCCATTATTCCACTTGAGAGTTGGATTGATTTCAAAAGTAGACTTTAGCTACAGGATGCGTAATTTCTTTTACTCTCCAAGTTCCAAAGCAATAAAAACAATTCAATATCATGACATTCCAAACACCAGGTGCTTATAAGATAGTAGCTTAATGCATAAAAATTGAGGTCCAGACTAATAGTTCATCCGGGGATAATACCCGACTATTGAATCCCAATAGGGAGGTGGAATATAAAATGGAGGACTAAAAATAGATTCAGATAAATTAGTTAAATTGCAAAATTGAGAATATTTTTCAATCCCTCATTTCTGAGACGATTCAAATATGGGATATAATACACAATATGAAGGGATCGATAATTCCTAGGACTTACAAATGCTAATCTCATCTAATCCCGTCCATCCAAATAAACATGATCTCATGTATATGATATGGCAAAACTTAAAAGAATAAAAAAAAAATCATAATATTTTTATAATTTGTAGCAGTGAATGATCTATAACAATTATTAAAAATCAAATGCAAAAAGTAATTACATAGGTACAAATTAAAATTAGAGTTTATTACTAATTGATGTAGAGAGATCATTAGGACAAATTGACAGGAGAAATATATACCATTGCTCAATTATAAAGACTAAAGAGAACTTTACTTTGTGATATTTATAAAAAAGTACCCCTTTTTGTTGGAGTTTTTGAAAATGAACAACATATTTATTCAAGTAAACCCTATATCCTTGAAGAAAAAAAATTGTCACATACCCATACTATACCCATATTATACCCAACATTCAATTTTTTTTATTTAAAAATATATATACAAATTTTACATACTGATACATGTGTAATTGTATCAATATGAATACTCATATTGAATACATACCGGTACACATACCACATATACTCCTATAGCATAATTTTCAAAAAAACCGAGTTTTAAAAATTTTAAAAAAAAAAAAAAAATCACCAGCTGCCTTTACACGTGGATACATAATATTGATTCGCAGACATCATCTATCCAGCAAATCAGCCAACCATCATAAATTGCTAAAGAGAATAAAAAATTACTTATACCACTACTAATTGCTAAAAGACATTCAATTGTTCAAAGTCTATTTGCAATTCGTCTATTGGCTCACCACTTGGCCCTTATATGCCAAGGGTACGCTTGCATTGACGATAAAAAAACTCAAGGTGGCGTTTTGATCATTGCGATGAGATGAAATAAAATGATGAGTTTACTAAAATATTTATTTTTAAATTTGATAAATAACAAATACATTGTAAAAAAATTATTATTCAATATTATAAGTAAATGGGTAAATTATACAAATGATCCATGTAATTTACATGATGTATCGATTTGATCTCTATTATTTTATTTTGTTCGATTTTGTCCTTTAATTTAACGGATTGTGTCATATTAGTCCAATAAATAATAACCGTTAGGTTTGGTGGACGGAAAGTTGTCACATGCTCAAACCATGTGTCAATTTGATCCTTGTAGTTTATACGATATGTCAATTTAATCCCTATTGTTTTGATTTGCTCAATTTTGACAGGAATCAAATTGACAAATTGACACATCGTATAACTATAGGGACCAAATTGATACATCGTTTAAATTTCCGTCCACCAAACCTAACGGCCGTTATTTATTGAATCAATATGACACAATCCGCTAAATTAAGGAACAAAATTGAACAAATTAAAATAATAAAGACCAAATTAACACATCATATAAACTACACCCTAAGTAAATAGTATCTCCGCGAAGAAGCTAATAATGAGTATTCAATTATGTTCCATTCCCATAAAACATAACATCATCTTATTTTCATTAAAAAAAATTTCTTACTCTGAAAACAATAATACTACAGACCAAGGTTGTTAAAATTAGGATCCTACGATGGATCGTTGGAGGTGTTTATAGGATTGGATCTTAGAATCGGATCGAGAATCGTAAGATCCTACCGAAAAAGACAAATTACATAATAATTTAATTTAAATAAATATTTCTTATAAAGTATACACAAAATGAACCTATATTTTATTAAAAAGAAGTGAAGATATTGTGAAAAATATAATACTCCATGTAAAATGTACATATAATATTATGCAATAGAAAACTCGATGGTAAAAATTCTGTATTTTATCAAAAAAGAAGGTGAAGAAGAAGAAGAATTCTAAACAAAATATTTTACAATGTACAATAATGCATAAAAAGTGAAAAAAAAAATATTTAACAAAATTGGATATGAAAATAGATTAAGAACTCAAAAGAGTAGCTTAGTCGAATGATAAGATTTGTCGTTAGCATCCCTGATGGAGCGGATTCGAGTCACAAAAATAATTTCTCCAGAAATTGGGATAAAGTTGCAATCATCTTACCCTTCTTAGACTCTGCTAAAGCTAAGTTTGTTTTTCCGACTATTTAATTTTCTTAAATTACCGCAATATTTAAATGTTTGTTTCTTAGTTTGATTTTCTTAGTCTATTTGATTCAATACTACTTAATTTTTATTATTTATTTTGACAACATAAATTGATATTTAGACAACAAATATAAAATTTACAACAAAATATGTCATACAATACAAAACAAGGCTTGTAAATTGGATCGGATAGGATCGAATTCGGATCGGGATTCCACGATCCTATAAGATCCCACTACCAGGATCGAAAGATCCTACCTATAAAGAGTTTTTTACACGATCCGGATCGATTGTACTCAAATGGATCGTAAGATCGTAGGATCGTAAGATCCGAATCGGGATTCTGATAACCATGCTACAGACACAGACTCAGACTTAACTATTCAAAAATTATCCAAAATTATCATTTTATAATTCAAATTTATTTTATATATGGATCTCGCACTACACAAATTTAATCTCCACTGCACAACCATCCACCCAAAAAATTCTAAGTGGGTAAAGTCTTAGGTCAGCAGACCTTTTCCTTTGAAAATTAATAGTAAAAAACCCTCTTTAGTTACAAAACAACCCTATTCGTAACTATATAAATGGGTAGAAGTTTTTAATTTGAGAAATCAATATGACAAGTACAATTCACAATCTCTAAATAATTAATCAACAAGTACAAGAGTAGCTACGGAGCCAAACGGTACGAAAATTATTTTGTTCACACATTTGTACAAACTCCGAACAAAACACTTAAAATAGATTTACTATTTCAACCAATCACAAGGTGATGAGTTTTGCTCACAAGCCTCTTCAGAAGTGTAACAACTCTTGGCCAACACTTTTATCCAAAGAAGTCCAGAGAGGAATTGTATGGACTCGTTTATGCCTTCTAATTGTGAACTACCTATTTCTTGTGGAGTTGTTTATAAAGGAAATGTTTGATTCATAAGATTAATAGTGAAAATATTAATAATCTCATCAAATTAATATAATATTCACTAGCCAATTAGATTAGTAGGATAAATTATTCTCTTGTCCATTGTTTGATTTGCATTGGATTAAGTAAAAGAATCTTTTTATTTTATTTCCAAGCTCGGGATATAAAATCTCGCTCCTACTCCATTACTAATAATCCAACAAATTTGTTAGATTAATTATCCATTGGATTAATAATCCTGACACAAAATTTCCAAAAAAACACAGCATTATTGGACCCACAGATTAATAATCTCAATCCCATTTTATAATCCTGTCAATCAAACATGCTCAAAGTGTCATTATATATGGACCATATCTTGTAATAGTTACAGTTATAGTTGTTCAACTTCTAGCCATGTGTTGTTAAATTATAATTATCTAGTTTGATATAATTCTCCTCCTATTTGCAATTATTCTCATGCCGATTGGCCAAAAAAATTAAAAAATATATTGTTACAATATTTCAATGAAACACAGGGTGTAGCACCATTGTGCCAATATTAGCATGTACCAATGAAGCACGGATACTCCGAAATAGCCCTCGTACGCGTGTCGGATACGGATACGTGTCCGATATGGCGAGATACATATCAAATACGGCAAAGAAGTATCCTATTTTCTTTTTTTTCTTTTTTTTGAATTTCGGATACGCTTGGGATACGCAAAGATACTTCATGGATATGCTTGGGATACTTTCGGGACACAGCGGGGCGAAAAAATAATTTAAAAAACTTATAATGAGGTCAAAGTGTAAAATAACAAAAGTAATTTAAAATAAAACAAAAAAATCAACCAAGCCCTAGCTGAAGCTTCGCGAACAGCAGCAAGGAGGAGGAGGAGCCGATCAAGGTTCGTCCTCTCCCTCTCCCTCTCGCGCTCTCGTTCCCTCTCTTTGTCCTCTCACTCGATCTATATATTCGATTTTATATTTATATATTCAATTTTTATATATTTATATATTTGATATCTATATATTCGATTTTTCCAGATTTTTCAAATAGAATCAATATTGAAAATAATTTTTTTTTAATTCACTAAATACAAAAAATAAAATAAAAATTAAGTATATTTTCATGTTTTTGTCTATTTATTGGTTTTTGTTAATATTTTTCAGAAATATTTTATTTTTTAAGTGTATTTAGGTTAGATATCTAAAAAATAAAAAATAAAAATGTTAAAAATATTTTTAAAATTCACTAAAAACAAAAAAAATGCGAGAAATAGAAAACTTAATTTTCAAAAAGTCAATCTAAACCAAACAACAATATTATATTTCTTATTTGTTATTTTGTATCTCACCAATTTTGAAATTAGGAGTCGTCTAATTCCTAACATTATATTAGTTTGTCCCATAAACTTGTATATGTTATCAATGGAGAAGCATTGGCATTAAAGAGTTCTGATAAGTTTGATGCAAGTTTGCTGCTATTGGTTTCTTTTTGCTGCTACTGTTTGGTGATGATGCTGGTTGCTGCAATTCTGTTTTTGCTAGTACTTTCATATTCTGTTTGATGTTTTGTTTTGTGATTTGGATTGTACGTATTGTACATAGGCTTAGGAAGATATTAGCTCTATTATTTGGGAGTTTTTTCTTTGGTTGGACTTTTGATTGGACTTACTTTTCAATACTAACATAGTTGGGGTCATATTGTAATGCAGTTTTGCACTCGATTTTTATGCATACTACTGCTACATTACTAAAAATTATAAAAATAATATTTTTTACAAACGTACCTCTGCCATACCCGTATCTTAGTTTTTCAAATCTTGCCATATCGCCATATCCACATCGTATCATACCCATATCTGTGCTTCCTAGGTGTGTACTAGGAGACCTAATAACTTAAAAAAAAACCTTGAGAGGTATTTGTAATTTACCCTTAAATTTAAAACTTTGCAAAAACGCGAAAAATCAGCAGAATTAAAAAAATGTTCTTCTACTGTCAACATTCATCAGAAGCAAGACTTGAAACTAACTCATGATATATTAATTCTACATTTCTAATCATCATCAAGACTAGCAGATTTTGAACATTTGGGCTGTGTTTTCAGGAATAGTGTTGAATAAAAGATGATACTCAAAACAAATTTTATTTCCAGTCCTTTTATTTCTCTTGAAAGTTACATGATAGTATAAAATTATATTTTCAAAATCAAAATCAAAATCAAAATATTTTTTTAGGATACGGGATGAAGATACACCTCGGATAAGCTTCTTACTAGAATCATCTGCGGATGCTGGGAGTAGTTTCAGTAGCTGAGGAGATTCCAATTTCCTGTACAAAGTTTCATGCTTAATAACTCCACATCAATCGAAACAATTCCAACCAGAATGATAGTACCTGATACAATCACCCAACTCATATATATATATATATATATACCTGAAGTTTTCTGAACCTTCAAGAGAGGGAGCCAGAGTGTCTTCCTATGAACCATGAAAAGATAATTAAAGAATATCCCACAACATAAACATGCTTCAATCAAGAATCATTTAACTACTGTTAAGCACTTACAGATGCATCAATTTTTGACTCCCATGATTCATCATCCATAATGTCACTTATGCTGCACATGATCAAAGAGTACTATTGGAAAACCAATTATACAAACCTTCTTTTCCACCAGGAGGGAAGAGAATATGCATGCATATAAATATAAGACATGAAATGTTCTTACCTCTGCTTCAACAGCATCTCATTCTGTGCGTCGGTTGAAGATTTTACAGCATTGGATTTCTTCATAGCCTGACTTCTTGCAAATATTTTGCTCCATCTAGATAACAGGTTCCTTGCCCTGATTGAAATGTCTGATCTTCAAATCAGATAAATGAGATCCAAAAAGATCAAAAGAAAAAAAACGCACACATACACAGAGCTAAAGCAAAAATTTAGGCCATGCTTGGTTGTATTTTCAATTTGTCCATTCTATTTTTTCATGTTTTCAGAAATGAAAACAATTAAAAGAACAGCTTGTTTAGTTTCATAACTCGGGATTCACTTTTCAGAAAATTAAAATTTTTTGTTTTCCGTATTTTTTTGTTTTTACTGAATTTTTTAATATTTTAAGCAATTTTTTTAATTTTTAAATGCACCTAACATATATAAACTAAAAAAGTATAATATTTGTGAAAAAAAATCTTTAAAAAATTAACTAAATATCAAAAATACAAAAATACAAAAAAATATATATATGAAAATTTAGTACATTTTTCTTTTTCTTGTGTATTTATTGATTTTTTTTTTTTTAAATTTCAAATATTTTACTTTTTAGATACATCCAAGTAAGGTATATCTAAAAAAGTAAAAAAATTGCTTATAATTTTAAAAATATTCACAAAAAACAAAAAAAATACGAAAAACAAAAAACTCAATTTCCAAAAAATTGAATTCAGAAAATTTCTTCTGTGTATTATTTGGGGTTAGGGTAAGAAAAATTCTTAAAACAGATGACGAACAATGTCTATATGTGGAAATTCTTAGGAAACTCCAGTACACACTGGTCCTGTTTATAGCAAATTTATAATGTTATTGGCTATTCACTAAGACAGAGTATATGGTGTGTAAATTTAGTAACAGTAACAATGAAAGCAGAGAAGAAGTGTAGTTTGAGAAGCAAGAACTGCTTAAGAGTGAACATTTTCATTATTTAGAGTCGATTATCACAACGGCAGGGGAGATTGATACGGATGTGGCCCACAGGATTAAGGCGGGATGGCTTAAGTGGAGAAGTGTGTTTGGGGTACTGTGCGATAAACGAATACCCACTAGACTAAAAGGTAAGTTCTATAAAACGGCTATTAGACCAACGATGTTATATGGGGTGGAGTGTTGGGCAACCAAGAAACAACATATAGATAAGATGAGTGTTGCTGAGATAAGGATGCCAAGGTGGATGTATGGCAAGACTAGACAAGATAAAATTAAGAATGAGTGTATTTGAGAATGGTTAGGAGTAGCACCAATTAAAGATAAGTTGAAAGAGAACCGAATGAGATGGTTTGGTCATATTCAACGGAAACCAACAGAAGCAGTAGTGAAAAGATGAGATGCAGTGACAGTAGATGGTAGTGTTAGGAGACTGGGTAAACCTAGATTAACGTTGACTAACGTTATAAATAGATATGTGGATCTACTTAATTTGACTAACGAAATGGCCTTTGATAGAGCCGCGTGGAGAAAAATGATTCATGTAGCCGACCCCATTTGATAAGACTTAAGGCTTGGCATAGTTTGGTTTGGATTGGTTTATTGGCTATTCACTAAACCTTGAGGCAACTGTTTGATCCTTTAACTGGAAATACCTTTAATGACCAATGTCTATTATGGCATATATGTTTTTTCAAAGTAATATATATATATATATAGAGAGAGAGAGAGAGGAGCAAGCATCTGTAGCAAAACCACACCTGATGCCCTATAAAAACGCAATCTGTTAACGCTTTGAAGTATGGCTGACATATGTACAGGGAGAGCTTTGTGCAGCGGGAGGTGACAGAGAACCTGGTAATTGCCAAGTAATTAACCATTAAGCTCCAGTGCAAGTTTAAAAAAGTAACCATCTCCTGTACCACCAATACATACCTCAAGAATGACATGAAGAACACTTGTTTGTTCTTCACTGGCTGCTTGACTTAACCATGTCGCTAAAATCATCACACCACCTTTAGTTAAAAACCTGCAAGTACAAAAGAGAGTAACTAGGTCAAGGGAGGCAGCCGACGACCACAATACTACAAATTGCCATGTTCATGAGATAACAAGATGAGTACCAATGTAGTACTGAAGAATTCTGAATCTGCAATATCCACTCCATCAGTTTCACCTGCCCAGAAAACATTTCTTCCTTCCGCATCAAACTTAAAATATTATCCACAAAATTTCTGTCCGGGTCATCTAAGACAGGTAGAGTTTCATCTTGTGTAGAGCAAGAAGGTCCTTCTTCACTGCTGGGAGGCCCCACAGAGTTTAAGGGAACTGGATAAACTGGCATTGCAGGATCAGTGGTCATTGGAACCCCATCTTGCACCTCTTTAGATGCATTAGATCGAAGTGCCTTCTCCGTTGACAACCGAACAAATTTCCTCACTCTTGAACGTTGACTGGTAAAAAAATCGCGAACCTATGAATATAAAGATAAAGGTGTAAGCAATCAATAATTTACATCAACAAATTGAAATATCTCCAGCTGACAAGATCATCAATATTTGAAAATCATCATAACAACAGAAAACAAAACCCAAAAAATGGTCAAAACTTTAGACAGATCCATGATACATAAGCACAACACAATCTCCACTTAAATTCCACCGCAATTTGTTTCTTTCTTTGTTTCTTTTTTTTTTAAGCAAACACAACCTTCACATTCTATCTAACCAAAAAAAGAAAAGAACAGGAAATATATATAGAGAGAGAGAGAGAGACAGAGAAAGAGAGAGAAAATGATTTTGATAGGAAAACTCATATTGATGCAATTCAGAGAAATTAGGGATAGAATCAAGAACTTTTTTAATATATATATTTACTCCTCTTAATATCATTCAAACTCCCCTGCCCCCACCCCACCCCAAAAATAAAAAGGAAAAAATTTTGTATAGGAAAAACAATGATTTCATTGCATATGCTCATTCTTGAACTCAATTAACAGTAAAGAAAGAGATGAAGATCATGAAAAACAAAAAAACAAACCTGTGTAACTGTAACACCAAAAAGAGCACTGATTTCACGAGATTCCTTCTTGGTGATTGCATCTTTAATGGAGAAAACTGCCTGCATATACTTCACAGCCTTGGGATTTAACAAATCTCTAGGTCTTTTACCTGCAAAATCAAATTTGTGTTAACTTCAACATAACTTATACAACAATAAATAATAATGATTATGTAAATATATTCACACAAAGCATGAAGGTGTCAATCAGGGGATTAAATCGACTATTGTCTGACTAATCAAATTACAATCCTGCACTGCATCTAAAGCACCAAAGTAATTCTAGGAATTGGTAATTCAATAAAATGTATTCCTGATGTAAATACTTGTCATGTGTTGAAAATTGGCCGAATAAACTACATAACTCAGCTTGCAAAATAATTGGCAACATCGACAAACAATTCCCACAACACAAGGACCGCAGAATTGAAGTCCTACATCCATATATATATATATATATATAGAGAGAGAGAGAGAGATGGATAAAAGCTTTTCTGTATAGGTGTCTGAATCAAAACATAGACAGTAATATAAATTAACAAGAAATCGATCCCTTTTTGTCCATTGAGAAATATCAACATCAATCAAGTTCCAACAAACTGATCAAGTCCTGTAGGTGATACTTCCAACAAGAGCACAGAACCAGCACTTACCAATTTTAATTGACAAAGCCCCAGCTGCCTGCACATTAAAAGAAAAAATATATACATATCAGTAATCAGAGTGACAGATAAAATAATACTATCATTTAATAAACATAATGCCAGAGTGTTTATTACACAAAACAAAGGTTGTACTTCAGTAACCTGCACAGCCAGGCACCAATTCATATGGTATTAATTATTAAAATAATAAGTCACAGCAGCACATTTGGAATACTGAAAGAATGAACAATTGAATCAAGAATTCAACACCTCAGTTGTAAAACATGCTAGTTTAGATAATTCAATATTTACTGTTTTTTTCAAAGACAAACAGCAAAAAAATAATAGTACAAGTTTCTTGAGACGATTAAATGGCATCCCCATAATATCAGTTATAACTGAGAAGCCTCCAATGGTAAAAACCCAAATCCATTTTTTTGCTTGCTATAGTGCTCCAAAAAAAAAATAAAATTTTAGCTATATCACTCCATTGATTCTCATCCCATGCTATCTGCACAATCTTATATCAATTTTTTACCATTGGATCAATTTCTCAAAAAGCATCTAGTGTTGATTATTGCCTTTGCTGATGTGGCAAACTTGGCAAAGCCAAATTTTGGCTAAAGATTTGGCACTGGTGGGGCGCTTTTGGCTCACATTTACAGCACATTACTTAAAGATTTCGAATTTGACATCCACTTGTCAACCAACCACACAAGTTTCCATGCCACATATACAAGAAGTTTGAATTTGGCAAAATTTGCAATTCCCTCTTCAGCAGCCACCCAAACATGCTACATTACAACTCTGTTTATTGTCTTTCCTCAACATCTAAACAAATTGGGATCCAAGTTCAGAAATTTAATAAAGCAGCAGACAATTTTTGGTGCCAAAAAAAATAAAATAAATAACTTTCCAATCAGGCGAACGAAGATAGTACATCAATTTGGCTTAATCAAGGTGAGTTCTTCAATTCTCAGAAACAAAACCAACATGACCCATTGAAATTCGACATTACCTTCTTTCGTTTCCTTTCCCTTTCCCACTGTTTCCCACCAATCAAACAGATGTCAAAAAGGACGCAAAAAAAAAGATCGAAACAAAAAAAAAACGCACCATTTCTTGAGAGAGAGGATTGACACCGGTGAGTTTACATTGGATGAAAACGATGTTCTGGAGCTGATCGATCTGGCTATGGAAAAGCTCTTGCTGCGAGTCCAACAAGCCCTGAAACGACGGCGTGGAACCGCAAACGGCCAGTTCCAATTGGTTCTCCTTCAAGACCTCCATTGTCAATTGAATCTTCCGAGCCCAGCAATGAAAGATCAAAACAATCCTCTCATTAGAATTCGAAAGTCTATACAAATCTCTGACGCATTCGGAGTTATAACTAGGGCTAGGGTTTCGAATTGAGCAGAGAGAGAGAGAGAGAGAGAGAGAGATGTTTGGTTTGGGGGGCTATTCGAGAAGAGAGTGCCCGGAACGGTCGAAACCGGAAAGCCCAACAGCAATGACCCAATCAAAAGACGGCCCATTCACAGTTTTTTACACCCAAACCGGTCCATCTAACAATTTTTTTTTCAAAAAAAATTACACTCGTCTTCGTTAAATTTTGAAAATAAAAATACATTAAACTCCTTTTAACATAATGATATTAACTTTCCTGCCACTAATTATAACATTAAAATACATTAAACTCCTTTTAACATAATGATATTAACTTTCCTGCCACTAATTATAACATTAATGGAGTTAGCAAAAATAGTGAAATTACATTTTTACCCCCAATCCATTTGTCCAGTTTATGTATGTTTCTTGTTTTTGTTTTTTAATAATTTTTTAAACGATGTGTAAAAGAACTATGTTTCGTTTCAAAAAATTGCAACAAATTTATATTTTTCAAAATATTATAAACATTTGGTTATTTTCAAAATAAATTTTTGTCAACTTCTTGCCTCCTCTATTCCATCCTACGGTTACATCAACTTTATAGTAACTCACCAAATATATTATATTAATTTGAATATGTCTAGAAAATTGTACATGTTAACTAAGGGGTGGTTTGGGATGATCTAAATAAGTGTATTTTTTGACTTTTTATGAAATATAGGTTAGATATGAGTTGGGTTTGAAGTAATGTGGTAGAGAGGTGATGTGACTTAAATAAAATAAGATAATGACTTTTTGACTTTTTGATTTTTTAGTTTATGACAAACAAGGCTTAAGTAATTGGATATGTTATATAAGTGCACTTTTTGACCTTTTAATTAAAAAATTAGAGAAATATATATATATATATATATATTTAGGATAATTTTTAACTTTTTACGAAAAGATATATAATAAAATACTATAGTAAAATTAAAATGACTATTTTACCCTTTTAACTTTTTAACTTTTTGGATAGTTGAATTCAAAAAATTTCTCTAGTGTCTTCCCCCACAAGCTACCCTTGAATAGTATAGACTTTTTAGTTTTTTTAATATTTTTTTGATTTTTTAGCCTTTTTAGTTTATCCAAGCCAAGCCTAAATTTATTATTTTGACAATGTTACCCCTCAATACATTTATGCTTTCAATTTTTCAAATTTCTCAGAGAAAAATTTGAAAATAAATAATTTGTAATAAATATATCTAAATTTATATATATATATATAGTAAATGAATAAAAACTACGACCAGACACTATTTAAGTTTTCCTTAGGGCATTGATAGGGTTTAAGTTATGTTTGTTTGACATGATTAAGGGATTATATTAGAAAACATGAAGCTTATAATTTTTTTTCTTTTTTGCTAATTTGGCGTAGTTCATATTTATCGCTGAGTATCAAATTTGTTTTTTCAACTTATAATTCAAAATATGTAGGGCATGTTTCGTAACGTTTACGTTTTCAGTTTATATTTACCAAAAGTTTATAAACTGATTTTTGTTTACTTTTTGTGTTTTTAGAAAAATATAAACTACAAACACGTTTGGTTTAAACAAAATGTTTTAAAAAATTTAAAAATATAAAAAAGAGTGAGAAATGACAAGTGATGGCGGGTGGTGGGTGGAGACGAGTGGTGGCGGCGGAAGATGGTGGTGGAAAATGATGGCGGGTGGTGGTGGCGAAGACGGTGGTGGAAAATGGTGGCGGGGGGTGGCTAGGGTTAGGTGGTAAAAAAAAAAAAAAATAAAAAATCAAAAA